TGACTCTTTCAGCATTAAACACTCCCTCTCTCTCTCTCTCTCTCTCTCTCTCTCTCCTTCCAAGAATTCAGGAGGTTGGCCCCTCGAAGAGCCCTGAGTTAGGCAGGTTCCTAACAATTTGGTATCAGAGCTAGCATGACCAACACAAGAAACACGTCAGTAGACACCCAAGTGGATCAGATGGAGATCGAGATCCATCGAATGTCTTCAGATCTCAAAGAAATGAAGGAAGGCTTCACTGCTCTCCTCCTTCGACTGGAGCAGGGGACAACGAACATTGACAGAGGAAGCCAAGAAGAGCGCAGCAATGAAAACAGCCACAGAACAGGGGCGGCAACAAGAATAGCCAAAATCGACTTCCCCATCTTCTCAGGCGGCGACCCAACTCCCTGGATTCTCAGAGCTGAAAGGTATTTCGATTACCATGAAACACCGGGGCAAGATAGGATAGCTCTGGCTTCTGCGAATCTTGAAGGGGAAGCCATCCTCTGGTTTCAATGGTACCGAAGGGGGCACCCTCATCAAACCTGGGCAGACTTCACAGACGCCATGACTGTTCGTTTTGGATCATCTGGGTTCGAAGATCTTGATGAAAAATTGGCAAAGTTGCGGTAGGTGGGATCAGTAAAGGAATACCAGATGGAGTTCGAAAGGCTGGCCGTGAGAGTCCAAGGGTGGACGGAGAAGGCGTTGGTGGGAAGCTTCGTTGGCAGCCTAAAAGAAGAACTACGACTGGAAGTGAAAGCGATGCAGTCCACTCATCAATGTGGCAGCACTAGCAAGATTGTATGAGGACAAGTTCAATCGAGCAAGAAAGGTGCAGCGACCATGGGGTCAAGGAGCAAGAAGGGAGCAAGAAAGGACAACAGCACCAGACAAGGAGGAAGGAGTACTAGGCCCAGGCCCACTAGTTCCTTTCAAACGGCTGACCTGGGCAGAGATGCAAGCCCGCAGAGACAAAGGTCTCTGTTACAACTGTGAAGAGAAATTTGAGTCGGGCCATCGCTGCAAGAAACAGCAAGTGTTTCTCCTCCAAACAGATGCCGAAGAGGAAGACGACATCACCGGTTGCAGAGAATCTAACCCAGGGTGGGAAATACAATCCAATGGCATGCCTGAAATATCCTTACAAGCCCTTACAGGACTTGCGTCCCCTCAAACAATGAGAGTTGCAGGGCTGATTCTAGGACGCCAAGTGTCAATCCTCATAGACAATGGCAGCTCCCTTAACTTCATAACTCAA